ACTCAAACTGGATGTCACAGCTCATAGCTGTTTTTGTACTTTTCCCACAACATTATGCTGCTTCTAGTCATGAATCAAATCACCGGACTGAAGGGTTTGAACCTACCATAGAGCTGTCTTGGTTCCAGTCCTGGCTCCTGCTTGGGTGACCTTGGACCCCTTGAAGCCTGGGTGTTCTCTGCTATAAAACAGAGGTGATAATAATCATACCTTCCTGATGGGTTTTTAAATGAAAGTTTCATGGAGCAATGCAGGTAGAGCCTGCAGTGCTGTGTCTGGCTCCAACTAAGCACTCCATGATTGTTTAAGATTCTGTTATTCTGGCTGTGCGTGGTGGCTCATGCCTGTAATCCAAGCACTTTGGGAGGCTGAGTGAGGTGGATCACCTGAGGTCAGGGGTTTGAGACCAGCCTGGCCAACATGGTGAAACCCCATCTCTACTGAAAATACAAAAAATTAGCTGGGTGTGGTGGCAGGTTCCTGTAATCCCAGCTACTCAGGAGTCTGAGGCAGGAGAATTGCTTGAACCCAGAGGGCAGAGGTTGCAGTGAGCTGAGATTGTGCCACTGCACTGCAGCCTGGGTAACTCAATCTCAAAAAAGAAAGAAAAAAAAGAGAGAAAAGATTATGTTATTCTTAGACTGGCACCTTCACAGTGGACAAAGCAAGCAGCTTCTGCAATTGGCATCCTCATGACAACACTGTGAGGTTAGAATTTTCACTCTCATGGCTGAAGTAGAAGCTGAGGCTTAGCAAGCAAGCCTCTGCTCCCAAGCTCAGTAGAGGAAAGTGGGTCCTGTTTGTCTCTCCCGGGCTAAGCTGCTTTGAAAGCAGAGGCTGTGTTACCCTCCCTGGCCCCGGCTGTAAGCACGGTGTCCTGCCCACCAACTACTAAATCCATCGGCTCCTCCAGTCCCAAAGGCAAATCCCCTCGTCACTTCTGCCAGGGTGAGCCCCAGCCTGACACTGATGCAAGACACTGCCCTTCTGTGCCTTGGTTTCTCCGTTAAAAACAGTTGTGATAATTTCAGCCCCGGCATTGATATCAAAAGACCTGAGAGTGAACACTGACTTGGAGTGGCCTTGAGCAATTGAATTAATTTTCTTTTTTCTTTCTTTTTTTTTTTTTTTTTTTGAGACAGAGTCTCACTCTGTCACCCAGGCTGAAGTGCAGTGTTGCGAACTTGGCTCTCTGCAACCTCTGCCTCCCGGGTTCAAGCGATTCTCTGGCCTTAGCCTCCTGAGTAGCTGGAATTACAGGCATGTGTCACCATGCCCGACTAATTTTTGTATTTTTAGTAGAGACGAAGTTTCACCATGTTGGCCAGGCTGGTCTTGAACTGCTGACCTCAGGTGATCTGCCCACCTCAGCCTCCCAAAGTGTTAGGATTACAGGCAGGAGCCACTGCACCTGGCCTTGACTTCATTTTCTTAGTTTCTGTGGCTTTGTCTGGAAGAAGCAGCTAGTAGTAGAATGTGATAATAGGATGGTAAGTGAAAAGGGAGAGCACCAAACAGGAATCAATATGATTCTAATTACATTTTTAAAAGTCAGTCTATGTGTATGTGCTTGTATCTACTTTCTCAAATATACAAAGAAAATCAACCAAAACGTTCCCAGGAGTACTCTCCGGACACTGGGCTCATGGGTGATTTTTGCTTTCTTCTTTATATGACTTTTGTACTTTCCCAGTTTTTCTTTCATTTTCGTGTTTTTTTTTTTTTTTTTTGACAGGGTCTTTCTCTGTCACCCAGGCTGAAGTGCAATGATGCACAGGTCACTGCAGCCTTCAACTCCTGGGCTCAATGGATCCTCCTATCTCCTCAGCCTCTGGAGTAGCTGGGAGTACAGGAACAAGCCACCATGCCCAGCTAATTTTAAACTTTTTTGTAGAGAGGGGATCTTGCTATGTTGCCCAGACTGGTCTTAATTCCTGGCCTCAAGCAATTCCCCTGCCTTGGTCTCCCAAGTGCTGGGATTAGAGGCATGAGTCAGTGTGCTCAGCCCAGCTATTCTATAATGAGTATGTGTCTCTTACAATCAGAAATTAGCAATTGAAGTCATAAATGATAGTTGCCTTTACTGCCCAGGGTTGTCTGGGGATTGCCTGTGGATACCCAAAAGGTGGCCTCTGTAAGCAAGCTTGTGTGGCACTGACTGCGCTTGCCCTGCCCTCCTGGGGTGCAGCCAGGCTGGCATCAGTAGGTCCCACAGGGCTGGCCCTCCGGCTGCGGGTAGAAGGACCTACTGCCTCCATGAAGATATGATCTCATCAAGGCTGAAGATTTCACCCAAAAGGGAGAGGAAGGAAAGAAACTGGAAGCAAAAAACTGATTTCCAACTTCAGTCCCATCCCTGCCTCCTTGGGCCAAGCACTTGGCTTTTCTGGCCTTAGTTTCCTAATCTGTAAAAGAGGATTAAATTGTGCTTCCCACACTGTTGGGGGAGCAGGCTGCATGTAGACCCTCGGACACTTAGCTTATTTGGGTTAGGAGTCAGAGAAACCAAGTAAGGAGTGCACCTGGCGTATGGCCAGACCCAGGGAGCCCATAACACCTGGTATTCTGAGTGCAATGCAGGGGCTGTTTTATGATGAGGATGAGATGTTCCTTCCATCCAGCAGGAAGCGGGAAAAGGTTCTGATGCCCCAGTGAAGTCTGCTTGGCTGTTGGAAGTGCAAGCTGTGACTGAAGCACTGACACAGTTTTGCTTCATCAGTTATAGCTGGAACGTCCCGGGGCAAGGCAGAAGGGCCGGAATAGGCAGGTCTTCTACTGAGAGGCTGTCATCGATGTCCTGAGACATTTGTGGAGCTTCTGGTATACACAGCGCAGATAGAGGTTCCCCTGAGACACTGACTGTCTAAAAGTGATACAAACCCTCTTCTCTGGCACGTGTCTATGAAATGCCCATCAGGACCCTGAATGGCTTCCCGTTGCCAACTGAAGCAGTCCTCAATCCTGCACATTAGAAGCCCCTGGGGAGACTTAATCCTGATGCTCAGGACTTACCACTTACAGGGGTGAGCTTTTGTCATTGGTATTTAAAAAATCTCCCCAGCATCTTTGGGAACTGCTGGGGGGGAGGACTACTGACCCCACCCAGTGAAACAATGGCTTTGCCTTCATCTTGCCTCCCCCACCCTTGAATCACATGTGAAAGATATGATGTCACATCTTTGGTGCACTTAACACAGAGCTTTGTTGAAAAAGAAATCAGTGTTTTTGTTTTTGTTTTTTTCTCTGTCACCCAGGCTGGAGTGCAGTGGTGTGATCTTGGCTCACTGCAACCTCCACCACCTGGATTCAAGCGATTCTACTGCCTCTGCCTCCTGAGTAGCTGGGATTACAGGTGCCTGCCACTGTGCCCAGCTAATTTTTGTAGTTTTAGTAGAGACGGGGTTTCAACATCTTGGACAGGCTGGTCTTGAACTCTTGACCTAGTGATCCACCCGCCTCGGCCTCCTGAAGTGCTGGGATTACAGGCGTGAGCCACCGCACCCGGCCCATTCAGTGTTTTAAATCATCATCTCATCCTGCTTTTAACAGGCCCAGGGGTTACCAGCAGGCGCTCTGGGGAGGGCACCGCCGCATCTGATGCCATCAACGTTCCAGTTCCTCCGACCCTGCTGCCTCCCTCCCCCATCCTGCCACACAGACCTGCCCTCAGCCAAGGCTGCTTCCCATCTCCAAGTCGGGACTCTTCCCTTTTCCACATCCTCTGCATTTCAAAATACTCTCAGGCTGAGTTTAAATGGCACTTCTTCCATAAAGCCTTCCCTCCTTCACCCAGTGGATCTGGGATTCTGTGCTTTCTCTAAGCTTCTCTTACTCTCAGTCATAATGAGCTGCTTATGTGCTCATTTCCTCCACTGAATTAAGAGTTTCTTGAGGTCAGGGTGCACATCTTGCTTTCTCCCTTCAATGTTCGAACACAGTGGATAACACGTGCAGGTGTCAGTGAAGCTTTACTAAAAGAATGGTTGTATCTCACACTCTTTGAAGAGAGAATGTATCTCTTCCCAACAGAAATAGGCAATCGAAAGTGTAGAGTAACAGCTGTCCCTCGTGGTGGCTTGTCCTACAAACCCCCCTTGAGCTCAGCATGGTGAGTAGAGATCAAGAGGTCATTGCTAGGACATCAGTTTCGGGGCCTGACTCCATCACTTGCTAGGCCAGACCTTCATGTTGACATCAGCTGTCAGCGGGAAGCAGTCAGTCTCCACTGACTCTGCAGTCTCCGCTGCCACACTGCCAGCGGTGGGAACAAGAACAAGCAGCCCCAGCATGTTTGCTGCTGTCTGTATGGATGATGCCATTGCACATGAAAGCACTAGTGTGCCATTATTGCAGTTGGGCCTCCTGAAAACTCCTAGAGCTGGGCGGGGCAAGGGAGGGACCTCCCCTGGTCTTCAGCTGGAGGGCTGAGGCATGACAGGATGCCAGGCTTAGAGCCTGGTTGGGCCCAGGTCTTCCAACCCATGGAGCCTGCTGTGCTACAGTGCTCCCTCACCTCCTTTGATCCTCCTGCATGCTGGGCTGGAGAGAAAACTGACCCTTTTTACAGAAGGAACCCTGGCGGTTTGAGGACTGAAGTCTAGTGGAGGCTCAGCAGTGGAAGAAGAGTAAGCTGTCGGGAAGGTGGTGGGCGAATGGTAGGGTCCTGACCTGTCTCGGGGTCTCTGGAAAGCTGGGTGTGGCCTCTGAGGTGAGAAGATAGTTGTGGGTCACCGGCAGGCCATGACAGGCAGGCAGCGTTGCCCTGGCTTCTCTCTCTCCAGTCTCTCCTGTGTGGCATCTCCTTTGAGGGTCAGAGAACCCAGGGAGGGAGGCAAGCCAGGGTGGGTCTCATCATAGAAAAGAGAAGACTGGGGTCAAGAGAGTATGTTCCTGCCAGGATGCCAGCCTCCGATGCCACCCGCAAAATTGGTGGCACCACCTCAAACTCAGCAATGGCCTTTTCAAACCTGGCTCAGTACAAACAACTCCCAAACCATACATTTTAGGAAAACTTCAAAAGAGTTTCCAAAAATTGTGGTGTTATACATTGCTCAGTGGCTTGGAGGTCCTGATCAGTCCGCTGAGAGAAGTGGCTGCCTCAGTTAATCAAGTGATATGGGACTCTGGAAAGCACCAGAGGTGAGGCCTCCAGGCAGGAAGAGCAAAGTTTACGCCCCTCTCCTTCTCAAGGCACCTCTGGCTGCACCTGGGAGCTCACAGTGACTGGGTTTCACCTACAGGAAGTGAAGCGGCGTTTGGCTGGTGGAGGCACAGGACGGCGGGGCTGTGTGTGCTCCTGCGTGTTGAGGAAGCTGAGCTGCCAGGCCCAGGGCGGCAGGTGCCCTGCGGGCCAGGCCAGTCCACCAGGTGTTATTGAAGATGAGTGAGGAGCTGAAAGGGCAGAAAGCTCTTGAATGTTTCCAGAACCCCCTGTAACTCTAAGACTCACCTGGGCCAGGAGGCCTAGAATTAGAGACTTTCTGGGCTGGAAGGAACTTTAGAAGTCTTCAGATCTAACCCCCAGTTTGAAGTCCCAGTGGAGCCCTCTGGATTTGCTTGTTCACCTCCAGTGACAGGAAAGTCAGTCCAGGCCTGGACAGACTGCATTCACACGGCTCCCCATCCCTTTCATCCAGTCCTGTTTCTGACCCTGGACAGGAAGAGGGTAGGCCTGTGTCCAGTTCTCCCTGGTGGCCCTGCAGAGATCTTCTTAGCCTGAGAGCTTCTCTGCTTAGGTCCCACAGTTACAGGCCTGGTTCCATTTTCTTCCCATCTTTGGTGACAGTCCACCTTGACATTTGGGGCTGGAGTGGCTCCCTGGCCTCCTGGTGTTGCAGGGTCAGTGCAGAGCGGGGAGCAGCTCTGCCTGTCTCCTTCTAGCTCTGCCTTTGTGGGACCAGCCTACGTCCTGCCATCCTAACCAGATGGCCAGCCAAAGTCGACCCCTCAGTCTTGCTCGGATAGTGCCAGTCTTCACCCATCCTGGTGCTCTGGGGTCCTGGGCACCAAGGGCAGGGCATCACAGTCCTTTTGCTAGCTCCCATCTGAGTTGGAGCTCCCTCAGGAGCCCCGCCCACCCTAAGTGCTGGTCTCCACAATGCACTTGAGGAACATGGTGTCGTCCCTCACGTAGGCGTGCTTGGGTGACTGCAGCTTGCTGAGGGGGAAGAAGAGTGGGCAGCCACTGGCCACGTTGGTTTCACTCTGGGGCCTCTGGAAGGACGCTGAGCTCAGGTCGGGCCGGAAGGCATCGATGGCGTGCTCACGATTGTTCTGGTCCAGCAGCATGAAGGTGACCTGCAGGGAAGGGACAGGTGGGAGATCAGGCCCGACAGCAGCAGCGCAGCTTGGAGGCCCAGGCTTGGGCTCAGAGCTGTGCTCCGTGCCTGCTGCCTATGCAGCCCCTCAGACCCTTGGCTCAGATGGATTCGGAGTCAGAGAAGCCAGGTAAGGAGCACACCTGGTGTATGGCCAGGCTCAGGGAGCCCACATCACCTGGTATTCTGAGTGCACTTCAGAGGCTGTTCTATGATGAGGATCAGATGTTCCTTCCACCCAGCAGGAAGCAGGAAGGTTCTGATGCCCCAGTCAAGTCTGATTGGCTGTTGGGGTGAAAGGTGTGACTGAAGCACTGATAAGGTGGGTGGACGCAATAACCTATAACACCCCCTCTGTCGTGGAAAGTTTTGCTTCATCAGCTACAGCTGGAACCTCCTAGGGTAAGGCAGAAGGATCAGAACAGGCAGGTCTTCTACTGAGGGGCTGTCATCCATGTCCTGAGACATTTGTGGAGTCTTTGGTATACACAGCGCAGATAAAGGTTCCCCTGAGACACTGACTGTCTAAAAGTGACACAAACCCTCTTCCCTGGCACCTGTCTCTGAAATGCCCATCAGGACCCTGAATGGCTTCCCGTTGCCAACTGAAGCAGTCCTCAATCCTGCACATTAGAAGACCCTGGGGAGACTTAATCCTGATGCTCAGGACTTATCACTTATGGGGTAAGATTCTGTCATTGGTATTTAAAAAATCTCCCCAGCGCCTTTGGGAACTGCTGGGGGTGGGAGGACCCACTGATTCACACAGCACACCTGCCCTGCCCCACCTGTTTCCCAGGACCTGAGGTCTCTATTCTTGACACTCTCTACTCATGTAATGCTGCTGTTCCCCAACAGGGAATGCCTATCCCCCAAACCCCTCTTTAAAAAAATTTTTTTTCTTTGAGACAGAGTTTTGCTCTTGTTGCCCAGGCTGGAGTGCAACGGTGTAATCTTGCCTCACTGCAACCTCTGCCTTCTGGGTTCAAGAAATTCTCCTGCCTCAGCCTCCCAAGTAGGGTAACTTTTTGTATTTACCAGAGACAGGGTTTCACCATGTTGATCAGACTGGTCTTAAACTCCTAGCCTCCAGTGATCCACCCACCCTAGCCTCCCAAAGTGCTGGGATTACAGGTGTGTGCCACTGCACCTGGTCAATAATTTTTTTTTTTTTTTTTTTTTTTTTTTGAGACGGAGTTTCGCTCTTGTTACCCAGGCTGGAGTGCAATGGCGCGATCTCGGCTCACCGCAACCTCCGCCTCCTGGGTTCAGGCAATTCTCCTGCCTCAGCTTCCTGAGTAGCTGGGATTACAGGCACGCACCACCACGTCCAGCTAGTTTTTTGTATTTTTAGTAGAGACGGGGTTTCACCATGTTGACCAGGATGGTCTTGATCTCTCGACCTCGTGATCCACCCGCCTCGGCCTCCCAAAGTGCTGGGATTACAGGCTTGAGCCACTGCACCCGGCCTCTGGTCAATAATTTTTAATAGACTTTATTTTGTTTATGTTTTCTTTTTCAAGATGGAGTCTCTCTGTCGCCTACGCTGGAATGTAGTAGCGTGATCTTGGCTCACTGCAACCTCCACCTCCTGGGTTCAAGAGATTCTCCTGCCTCAGTCTCCTGAGTAGCTAGGAATACAGGTGCATGCCACCACATCTGGCTGTTTTTTTTTTTTTTTTTTGTATTTTTAGTAGAGACAGCGTTTCACCATGTTAGCCAGGATGGTCTCGATCTCTTGACCTTGTAATCCACCTGCCTCAGCCTCCCAAACTGCTGGGATTACAGGCATGAGCCACTGTGCCTGGCCTAATAGACTTTATATTTTAAAGCAGTTTTAGGTTTAAAGCAAAATTGAGCAGAAAATTCAGAGTTCCCATATACCTCCTGCCCCCACCCAATGCACAGCCTCTCCCACTATCAGCATCCCTTCCAGAGTGGTACTTTTGTAACAATTGATGAACCTGTATTGACACATCATTATCATCCAGAGTCCACAGTTTACATTGGCATTTACTCTTGGTATTTCAACTTCTATGGGTTTTGACAAATGCATTAGGGCATGCATCCACCATAACAGTATCAAACAGAATAGTTTTGCTGCTCCCAAACTCCTCTGGGCTCTTTCTAGTCATCTCTCCCTGCCCCTACTCTTGGACAACTGTGTTAGCCAGGATGGTCTCGATAATTTTTTTGTATTTTTAGTAGAGATGGGGTTTCACCATGTTAGCCAGGTTGGTCTCGATCTCTTGACCTTGTGATCCACCCTCCTTGGCCTCCCAAAGTGCTAGGATTACAGGCATAAGCCACCTACTCTTGAGCTTACTGTCTCTATAGCGTTTTCTTTCTTTCTTTCTTTCTTTTTTTTTTTGAGACAGAGTATCTGTTGCTCAGGCTGGAGTGCTGTGGTATGATCTCAGCTCACTGCAACCTCCATCTCCTGGGTTCAAGCGATTCTCATGCCTCAGCCTCCTGAGTAGCTGGGATTACATGTGCATGCCATGATGCCCAGCTAATTTTTTGTAGAGACAGGATTTCATTATGTTGCCCAAGCTGGTCTCAAACTCCTGGAGTCAAGCAATCCACCTGCCTTGGCCTCCCAAAGTGCTGGGATTATAGGCGACAGCCACTGCGTCCCGCCTGGCCTGTCTCCACAGCTTTTCCTTTTCCAAAATGTCATATAGTTGAAAGCATGCAGAACACAGTCTTTTCAAATTGACTTCTTTTACTTAGTAATGTGTATTTAAGGTTCCTCCCAGTATTTTCATGGCTCGATAGCTCATCTCTTTTGAGCACTGGATGATATTCCACTGTCGGGCTGCACCACAGTTTATTCAGCCATCCACCTACTGAAGGGCATCTTGGTCGCTTCCAAGTTTTGGCAATTTTGAATAAAGCTGTTATAAACATCCTTGTGCAGGTTTTTGGGTGAACATAAGTTTTCAACTCCTTTGAGTCCAAGGAGAGCAATTTGCAATATTGTTTGATAAGAGTATGTTTGGTTTTGTAAGACACTACTAAACTGTCTTCCAAAGTGGCTGTACCATTTTGCATTCCCACCAGCAAAGAATGAGTTCCTGTTGCTCCACATCCTCGTCAGCATTTGGTACTGTCAGTGCTCTGGATTTTGGCCATTCTAGTATGTATTAACATGTAGTGGTATCTGCTTCTTCCTTTTCCCTAAAAATTCTGCCAGTTCAAGCTAGCCTCACGGCACCTCCTCCAGGAAGTTTTCCTTATTTACCCCCATGATGTGAAGGGGAAAGAAGAGTGGGCAGCCACTGGCCATTCATTCCCTCCCTCCCTCCCTCCTTCCTTCCCTTCATGCCTTCCTCACTCCCTTCCTCCCTTCCTTACCTCCCTCCGTTTCTTTTTCTCTCTCTCTCCTCTCTCTTTGAGGCAAGGTCTCAGTCTGTCACCCAAGCTAGTGTGCAGTGGCAAGGTTATGACTCACAGCAGCCTCAATCTCCCAAGCTCAAGCAATCCCCCGCCTCAGCCTCCCAAGTAGCTGGGACTACAGGCACATGCCACCATGCCCAGCTAATGGTTTTTATTTTTAGCAGAGATGAAGTCTCGCCATGTTGCCCAGGCTGTCTCAAACTCCTGAGCTCAACCAATCCTCCCACCTCAGTCTCCCAAAATGCTGGGATCCAGGTGTGGGGCATTGCACCTGGCTATGAATTTTATTTCTATATAACCTTCAGGAAGATTCCAGACATTTTAGCTCCTGGACTCATGGAGCTGGAGGGAGCCGTAGTTACCAGATCTGATTGTTTTATAAAAAGGGAAACTGATAACACAGAGTGGGGGCCCGGGGGGGACTTTCCATGTCACATGGTCAATTCATTGCCAAACCAGGCCTAGGACTCAGGTTCCCATGCTCCTCACCTTACCCCCGCATCTCCACGCTCATACCTTGTTCCGGAAAGGCCACGGCAGCAGCGCATCGTACTCCCCTCTCATGATCACGATGAAGAGCGACAGGTGGGTTCTCTTTCCAGTGCCATCTCCATTCAGGTATAGCCGCAGGCACAGCTTGTAGCCATACTTGGCAGTGTAGAATGCTGAAATGCAGAAGCCAGAGGCAGCTGGGAAGTGCTGGACTTTGCAGATGCAGGACCGGGACCCAGCGGTGAGGCATGCCCAAGGTCAGTGGCTCATAACCATGAAAGATGGGGTTAGAGCCTGGCATTCTTCTCGACTAGGGTGTCAGGGAGGAATGGGCTCTTGGGGATCATCTAGCTCAGTGTCTGTCACCTGGCCATCCAAGTCCTATACTGCCAGGCCCCACCCTCAGAGTTTCTCACTCAGTAACCCTGGGGTGAGAACTGAGAGTTGGCATTTCCAGCAAGTTTGCAGGGGTTGCCAATACCGCTGGCCCTAGGGCCACACTCTGAGAACCACTGATCTAACCAACCTACGTTTTAGTCTGGAAACCAAGCTGAGTGAAAGGAAGTGGCTGGTCACCATTTCACAGTGTGTTGGGGGCCCAGCAAGAATGAGGGGCCAGGCTTCCTGCCTCCCAGCACCAGATTCTTTCTGCTGCTCTATGCCAACTGGTTGGAGTCCCCTGGAGGCTGCGGGTACATGGGGTGACTCGCAGTTCTGCCAGCCATCCTCAGGTGGCAAAAACCTTTGAAGGATCAATCATTCCTGGTGATGACACACAGAAACTCCCTGGGCAGCTGAAGGGGCCATCTCTCACGAGAGCATGTCCTCTGGCAGAGGGTCCTTCTTCTGTAATCCCAAAGTGATTACAGAAGGGAGGGCTGACTGGGATGCGGATGGGGGCGGGCAGGAAGGAGGTAGAGGAGAGTCTGACTCATCTCTGCCTATTACGTTTTGGTAGAACAGGAAGCCCAAGGCCCTGCTTGCTTTTTCCTTCTTTGAAAAGAATTGAGGGAAAAAGTCTGCAAGTAGGGCTCGAGACCACCCCATGAAGAGGCTGTCCTCATAGAGCAGGATGAGCACTGCCCCTGCAGGAGGGGTCCCGGCCCTGCTCTGGGAGTCTGACAAACTCTGCTGACTCAGTTAAAAATATTTTTTTTTTGAGACAGGGTCTTGCTTTGTTGCCCAGACTGGAGTGCAGTGACACCATCACAGCTCATTGCAGCCTCAAATTCCTTAAGTGATCCTCCCACCCCAGCCTCTAAGTAACAGGAACTACAGGTGCAGGCCACCATGCCTGGCTAATTAAATTTTTTATTTTTTTAATTTTTTTTATTTTAGAAATGTTGCCCAGGCTGGTCTTGAACTCCTGGCCTCAAATGATCCTCCTGCCTTAGCCTCTCAAAACATGAGGATTACAGACGTGAGCCACTGCACCCAGGTCACTCGCTGCCTCATTTTCTGCACAAATATATGCGTTGTTATATTAACAGATATCATTTCATTAAGAGAAACACTTAACCAAGTAATTATGCAAGACATCGTGCCAAGCCCAGGGGCCCCAGAAATGAGTAAGAAATGAGTAAGACACTCATTCACCTCCTAACTGCAATTGTATACAAGTGCACGTGTCTTACTCCGCTCTCTAATCTTACTTCAGACTGTCAGCTCTCTGAGGCCAGGGGACCTACGGTGTTCACTTGTGAAAATCATCATCCACATCCATCTCATCCGCCCACAGCACACTTACCATCACATCCCAAATCCATGAAGTGGGTAACAATTTTGCTTCCTATTTGCAGAACGTGACTGACATCCAGGGAGGAGAAGGGCCTCAATGTCAGTCAGACTGGGCCAATGCTGTGTGTGGCTGAGAGCCACAGGGCACAGCATGGTTCCCCCACAAACCCCAAGGTCCCTGCATGGTTCCCAGCCATGGTGAGTGGCCTGAATGGGCACCAGCCTAAACTGGACAGAGCACAGCTGTCACAGAGCTGGCTGTTTTCACTCCTTGCTTCCTGGGTCCTCTGTGCCCCTGGGAGGTGTTACCTGGGGAGAAAAGGCTGACAGTCTTGCCGCAGGCTGACTCTTGGCACCGCCTGGTGACGTTGGTGATCTTCCACAGGAAGGTGCCATCAAAGGAGGCTTCCTCCATGAGGCGCAAGCTCTGCTCCAGCTTGCCCAGGGCCTGGTCTTTCTGGGCCAGGGTCCGCTGCAGCTCCACCACCTGTAGGGAAGACTGTTCAGCTAGGAACACTAGAACCCGGCTTGGGGATGGGATGGGGACGGCAGCGTGTGGAGACTGATCAGCCCCAAATATGCTTTCCCAACCACGCCTCACTCAGGCACGTGCGTCTGTGTTTGAATGTGCTGCCCTCTGCCTGGCCTTCCCTTTCTTTATCCACCAGGAATCCAGGCCCCTCATCTGGGAGCCTTCAGCCACTGTCCTAGCCCAGCTGCTCTCTCTCAACCACGTTCTTACAGAGCCCTTACAATGATTTTATGAGACATATTTTTCTGCCTTCCCTACCAGATGGTCTCCTCCACCGAGGGCTCATTTGGTCTTGGTGTCCACAACCTGCATAGTGCCTGGCATGTAGAAGTAGAGCCAGGAAGTTTGTGGGTGAAATGATGACACAATTGTGGCTTTCAGGGAGCCCACTTTTTAACTGGGGCAAGAGTTACATAAACAAAGTCTCAGCCACTCCAACTCAGCGCCTGGCTCTTCTAATAGATTTCCCCAATAAAATGGAAAGAATACAAATTTATTCTTGAGTGTGTTCAGGTAGGGAAGCCATGAATGGAAATGAGCGTCCTTAAAGAAAATTTAATCCTTAATTTTACTGATGGGGAAGCTGAGGTCCCAGAGGGAAAGTGACTTACTCAGACCCACACGGCAGGTGGCTCTGAGCACCTGCTGTAACGGTAACCGCGAATGGTGAGGCAGATAATGGTAATGGTGAAGGAGGAACTAAAATCCAGGCCCAACTCGACATGAGACAATGATGTAATGTTAATGTTACTGCAAAAGAAGCAACATTAGAATGGTGATTGGCTACGTTAAGGAAAGTATAAGCTCTAGAATAAAGGAGGAGACAGCCCTGCTGGAGCAAGAACTGTCAATAGTGGATTATCTGGAGTCAGCCTGGGACCACACTTTAAGCATATAGAATTCTTTAGAGGCTGAGCCAGAGAATAGGAGGGCAATGTGAAGCAGCGTGCTCTGAGAAGAGGTGAAGGCACCAGGGCTTTTAGTCCGAAAAGGGAAGCACTCAGATAGGACAGAATCCAACTCTATGTCCCTGAAGTTGTGGGGACTAGAAGGTGGAGTTGTCTTGTGGGCCCTGAGGGGCAGGTTCAGGAACAATGCAGGGAAGAGACAGAGTGGCCGATTTTAGCTTAGTGTAAGGAAGTACTTGCTAATAGTGGAATATGTCCTGCAATGGAATGATCTGCTCAAGGAGGTGGTGTCTTATCACAAAAGTTCAAGCAAAGGAACTGAAGCACTGGATGGGGGGGCGTGACCTTGAGCTTCTAACTCAGTGCTCTTCCTGAAAGGGTGTGGGAGAAAGGGGAGATACGCTTTGATGGAGCGACTGCTTTAAGCAGGATGAATGATTAGGAAGAGGCTGTCTGCTGCTCTGGAGTCAGGATGGGGCTCAGCCAGGCTTGAAAGCAAACTTGCCTCTTACACTCACCCTCTGCTCCAAGCTCACAATGCGCTCACGGTCCAGCTGGCTCTGGTGGATGGAGGTGGCCAGGGCCAGGTGGGAAGCCTCCACCTCCTTGTTGAGGACAGCAACAATGTTCTCAAACACACGCAGCTTCCCCTCCAGCTCAGCCAGAAGCTTCTCCTTCATGAAGTGCTGCAGGGCCAGCTCCTCCTGGCTCTCGGAGCAGGGTGCCCGGTAGCAGTCTACCTCCAGGTCCCCTGCCACTTCCACAGCCGCCTGCAGCTGCAGGTCTGACAGGTTCTGCTCCAGGGCCATGGGCCCAGACTCTAGGCCAGAGCCCAGCCGGGCCTTCCACTGTTTCATGAACCCCAACAGCAGGTTTAGGTGCGAGGTCTGGTAGGTGAGCTCATGCTCTTGCATGGACTGTGGGCTTCCCTGCCAAGAGAGTGGGGCTGATCAGTGTAAACAGTGGAGGGAGGTCAGGGGAGCAGCAGAGAGCAGTGGAGAGCCCTGCTATCAAAAATCACCAAGGAAAGTCAGATCCATTCACCCAGCAAAGAAGAGTGGCTTTCTGTACAGTGGGAGGGATTGAGGAGGAAGATCCTGGCATTAGACATGCCCATGATGAGCCATATACATCGCAGCCTCTAATTCTGCCCTGCCCTGGAGTGCAAGGGTGATTCAGGACCATGGAGAGAGGCGGCAGAGGTCGGGTGGGGGTCATTTTAGTGATGTTCTGCCAGTGCTTAGGTGAGACATTAAGAAGAACTTCCCTGAGTACTATGATGACTTAATAGTAGGATCTGATGCTTGGGAAAGTCATTAGTAAAAGGGACATCCAGATGAGTGGGCTGATGTTATGGGAAAATCCTGGAGGGGCTGCAGTGGGGAGACCCAGAGGTCCAGAACCGTAGTGGACAGATCTCCTTTCTCACACTCAGATTCTTACCTTGAAGGAGCAGCCGACACCTGCAAAGGGGCACCCAACTCCAACCTCAGCCACCTCTGGGTGAGCCTGGAAATAATAATCACGTCACTGAATGTTATAGCGATCCCTGTGGCTACCCTGGGACCTCTCTGCAATATACCAGGATCCATCAAGGCAGGAGATGAGTTGGGCCACACAGCTTTGCAGATGCTGTTCCCTCTGGCTATCTCCTTTCCACTCTTCGAGCTTCCACTCTTTGACGACTTTCCTTCAAACCAGGACCTGGGCCCCGACTGTGATCCTGGGTAGTACTGCTGTTTCTCCTGTCAGGGCATGGTCCACACAGCTCCGTAACCGTTACTCACTCTCTGGTTGCCCTGACTGGTCGGAGGGGCTCTGTGAGGGTCGTGGTGCATTCCTAGAGCTGAGGGCAGTGCCTGGCACAGCGGAGACACTCAGAACACACTGGCTGCTCCCTCCTCCTGAAGCCTGTGGGGAATCGTGTGCACACAATTCCCATCTGCACCCCTCCTTGGCTGTCTATCCTTGACTGAGGTGCGTCCACTCTGCACAACTTTCCCTTCCAGATAACGTCCAGCCGAGGGAAGGGACACAGAGGGGTCTTCAGTACTATTATAATAGCAATTTGACCCCACTGTTAGCCTATTTAGGTCCGAAGCATTTACCAAATGCTTTCATGGCCGTAATTCTTCCCAGGGCTCCTTACAGCACGGTGGGGAAGAGAGGCTGGGTTTTTACTCCTATTTTACTTATGAAAAAACTGAGGCTCACAGAAGGGAAGGGGTTTGCCCAAGGAGGCAGAGCTGGGAGGTGGCATAGCCACAGGGCCCCTCCCACGCACATCACTACCTCTTAACAGGAGTCAGCCCAGGAGAGATGGGAGCAAAGCTTTTCCAAAACATATACAGTCATGCAACAGGAATACGTTCTGATAAATGTGTCATCATTGTGTGATCATCATAGAATGTATTTACACAAACCTGGATGGTATGCCCTGCTACACACTAAAACTCTGTGATAGCCTATTGCCCCTAGGCTACAAACCTGTACAGCAAGTGACTATACTGAATACTGTAGGCAATTGTAACATGATCCCATGTGTATCTAAATATATCTAAACATAGAAAAAATACAGTAAGAATACAGTACTATACTCTTCTGGGACCATCGTATATGCAGTCCAGTGTTGACTGAAATGTTATGTGGCACATGACTGCATCTTCAAAACAGCTTGTATCCAGAATATATAGAGAACTCTTACAGTCTAATAAGAAGACAAATGACCTAATGAAAAATAGGCAAGGCCAGGCTCAGTGGCTTAACACCTGTAATCCTAACACTTTGGGAGGCTGAGGCAAGAGGATTGTGCTTGAGGCCAGGAGTTCAAGACCAGCCTGGGCAACATAGTAAGAACTCATCTCTACTTTAAAAAATTTAAAAATTAGCCACGCTTGGTGGTGTGTACCGATAGTCCCAGCTACTTGGGAAGCTGAGGTAGGAAGATCGCTTGAGTCCAGGAGTTCAAAGCTGTAGTGAGCTATGATCACATCACTGTACTCCAGCCTGGGTTGCAGAGAAAGACTCTGTCTCTCTTGGAAAAAAAAAAAAGCAAAATAACAGATACAATCTATGAAAGTATCTTATAAAGTTAAACCATACTTACAAAATAATTTACTTATAAACCATACTTATGGTTGGGTGTAGTGGCTCAGGCTTGTAATCCCAGCACTTTGGGAGGCCAAGGTGGGCAGATCATGAGGTAAGCAGTTCAAGACCAGCCTGACCAACCTGGCAAAACCCCATCTCTACTAAAAATACAAAAAAATTATCCGGGTGTGGTGGCATGCGTCTTTAATTCCAGCTACTAAGGAGGCTGAGGCAGGAGAACTGCTTGAATCTGAGAAGCAGAGCTTGCAGTGAGCTGAGATCGTGTCTCTACACTCCAGTCTGGGCGACAGAGTGAGACTCTGTCTCAAACAAACAAACAAAAAAACCATACTTAAAAAGTTGTCATACAATCCACACATTTCACTCCTAGGAACTTACCTAAGAGAAAGCAAAACATAATGTCGCACAAAGATGTGTATGTGAGTGTTCGTGGTGTCTTTGTTCAAAGCAACCCAAATGTGTCATCAGCTGGTGAGTGGATAAACAAATTGGTCTGTATATACTACAGAACAACCAAATGGAATTAAATACTGGTAACATGGATGAACCTCAAAAACATTATGCTAAGTGAAAGAAGACAACACCAAAGACTACATATTACCTGTTTCCATTCTTACAAGCTTCTGGAAAAGGCAAAACTAGAGTGACAGTAAGTAGATCGGTGGTTGCCTGGAGCTGTGGGTAGGGAGGGGAGTGACTGTGCAGGAAAAGAAAGCAGCTTTATCCTGTGCAGAAACGTTTACCACTTGATTGTAGGGGAGGTCACGTGATTATTTACATTCATCAAACTGTATACTAAAAATGAGTGAGTTTTATTGCATATAAATAATACCTTGATTCTATAAGCACTGTTTTTTTTTTCTTGAGAGAATAATCTCATGGAACCACGTGAAAGGGGATTTGGATGAAAGCAGGGGAAGACAGAGGTCTTTTGGACTGAGCAAATACAAAAAGCCGCACTAGTTATTATTCTTTAAAAGTAACATGAGCAGAGAGCTGTGGGCTTAATGAGTACAGTTGGTTTGGGACACAGACAGAACGTAGCCCAGCAAAGGCCACCCTGACCCCCTCCCCCAACTGCCCAGGGCTTCAGGGACAAGTTGTTCCCAACAAAGAATAGAAAACAGATGTTTTATGGAGGGCAAGCAGAGAGCGGCCTTGGCAGGGAGACCGTGCTGGCTTTGGGAAGTCTGTGGTGATGAAACCTCTCCCAACATGTAGCTTTTGACACATGAGAACAGTGGAGGAACTGATGCTAGGTGTGGACCTGGCTCCTGGGCGAATACACTTGGGGCAACCTCTCCGGTCCCACCACTTCCCACAGGTCCATGATCCAATCCTCCGTGGTTCTAAGGATTGAAGCTTGATGGGAGAGTCATTAAAGGGATAAGAACGTGAAAATGATCAAGCTCAGAGTGAAATTCCAGACATCACGCTGCAGGTGGAAGGGATGTGTCTTTCAGCAGCGGAGCGTTCCTGGTGTTGTGTAAACAGCAAATGCTTGTTTCAGGGAGTAAAATGCTATACAAATGTAGGGGCATCCTTCTGTGATGTGTGTACAGATGTGGACTCTGATGAGCCTTGAACAGCTGCTGGAGGAAAGGGCAGGGTGACTTGAGAGGCTTTTCCATTATCATTATTCATTCCTTAGAGTGCACGGGAGTTCAGGGTATGGCCTCCAGAGCCAGCCTTTTGGGGTTCAGAGCTTGTTTCTGTCATTTCACATACTAGCTTTGCGGCCTGAGGATAGTTATTAACTTCTCTGTGCTGCAGTTTCCTCATCTGCAAAATAGGGATAATAATAATATATATCCCCCTTATAGGGTTATTGTGAGGATTAAATGAGATAATACATATAAGCACTGCACTGGTGTTAGTTACCTATTGCTGCTGTAACAAAATACCACAAACTTAATGGCCTAAAACAACACAGCCTTATTATCGTATAGTTCTGGAGGCCAGAGGTCCTAACATGGAAACGTCAGCAGGACTGTATTGCTCCTGGGGGCTCAAGGGGAGAATGGCTTCCTCCCTTTCCCAGCTTCTCAGGGCTGCCTGCACTCCTCAGCTTGTGGTCCCTTCCTCCATCTTCAAAGCCAGCAGTGCAGCATCTCCCCTTCTGTCTGATTCTCATCTCCCTCTTCTGAGGACCCTTAGGATTACCTTGGGCCGGCCTGGATAATCCAGGGTCATCTCCCCTTCTCCAAATCCTTAATTTAATCGTGTCTGCAGAGTCTCTTTTGCCGTTCAGACTCAGCATCCCCCACCCAAATCATATGTTGAAATCGTAACCCCCCGTATCTCAGAAGATGGCGATAGGGCCTTTAAAGAGCTAATTAAATAAACATGAGGTCATTTAGGGTGGGCCCTAATCCAATGTGACCGGTATCCTCGTAAGAAGAGGAGATTTGAAGAGGGACCATGTGAAGACAGAGGGAAAGGATGGTCACATCAAGGCAAGGAGAGAGGCCTTGGAGGAAACCAACTCACCAATACCTTGTCTTAAGCTTCTGGCCTCCAGAAATGCGAGGAAATACATTTGTGTTGTTCACACCGCCCAGTCTGTGCCCTTTGTTATGGCAGCCCTAGCAAATGCATAGAGTCACGCGAAGTCAGGTACTCACAGGTCCTGGGGGTTCACATGTGGACATCTCTGGAGGACATTATTCTGCCTAACACGGTATTCAATAAAAATGAGCCATTATTAGTATTAGTAATAGTAATAATGGCTATTATTAGTATTAGCAATAATGGCTCACATTTATCGAAATTATTCAGTACTACTATTGAATACTTGTTGAATTCTACTAATAATAACACTAAGAATACTATTAGTAGTAATACTATTAGTATTAATTAGTGATACTATTATTCCTATGGATTAAGCACTGCCAGTCCCAGTCCCCCAAAGGCCGTCATATACATGTATCTCATTTAATCCTCACATCACAAACTCTTAACAACAAATTCTCTAAAACTCTATTTTTCCCACTGGATTTCCTCAAGGCGGTGAGAAACATCTCTAAATGAACAGGACCAAAATGTGTTTGAATGTTGTCCCATAGGATCCTAGCAGCAATCCTCTGAGGGAGGCAGGGCTGGATTAGTGTCGCCTTCATACCAACAGAAGCAGGGAATGGTTGGTTTAAGGCCACACCGAGCTCGCGAGCAGAGGAGCCGGGCGCACCTGCGCATTCCCTCCCATAGTTGTGAGCCCCTGCAAGGCCTGGTGCTGACCTGGCACTCGTGTAGACACTGTCCCATCAGATCCTCACAGCCATGAGGAGGAGGTTGGGGCTTTGAGCTTCTGCTTCCCTCGTGTCAGTGGAGAAGCCAAAGCCCAGGGGTGATCAGTGACTTGCAGGAGGCAACGGGGCAGCGAGGCGAGCCCAGGAGCC